TAAAAACAAAATTACAGAATCATACTCCTCACTGATTGTGACTTAAGGTCAGTGCTATTTGTCTTTTATAGTAAAGGCCAAACCTTTCTAAAGTTAAGAGTACTACAGCAACGCGAATTAGAAAAATGATAAGCGCAACTGGGACAGTAACATCAATAATAGAGTATAACGCTAACAGCAAGAGATTCAAGCCGCTAATGGACTGACAATTGTCATTATACCGTCATTTTCCCAGGAAAGGTCTTCCAGAAGCCAAGTGTGTATTCTGCTTCTTTCCTTTTTCTGCTAAGGTGGACAGCAAGGCTCTCATAACAAGAACTACAATCCTGTAGCTTCTGGTATTCTGGAGATGCCTATAGGGCACAAAGTAAGACAGACCTGAGAGTGTTTCTGAACACCTGTGCCAACAACACTACGCAAACTGCAATGCAACTGTTCATTTTATTAAATCAGCACCAAATGCATGACAGTTGGTCTGGTTAATAAAGCAACAGTGAAAGCTAAGTTATTTTCTTGGTCACATGTTCTGTTGGTGTGCTAGGAGTTTTTAAAATCACAAAAGTTCCATGAATGTTAAGAGGAGAACGAGTAATATACAATTACATGATCTACCTTCTTGCAGCTTAACAAGCTGTAGCAAAAGTAGTGCTAATAATTGCAGGAGTAATACTTTAAATGACTATATTGGAATAAACATACAAGTAATCACTGTTCCTGTATAGTCATCTTCTATTTCAAAAGAATGCAATTATTATTTCTAAATGGGTGGTAAAAATCTACCTAATATATACATAGTATTTTCAGTAGAGTATTACAGCCAAGGATAGCTACAATAACGATGCCAGATGGAACTGAAGAGCAACAGGCAAACATCAAAATAATGTATTTGCAATTAAGCGCTCAGGCACACAAACAAGTTCTGGCAGGGTAACAAGTTTCTACCTGTCATGTGATCTGCGCAGGTGTGGAGTAAGATTGCGCAAATAAATGTGCATGATCTTCCCTGCAGCAAATACAAGTCCAAGGTAGCTTCCCTGAGGACTATGCTATTTCTAATTACCTGGTATTTGCTTCACACAGTTACTTCCGAGCTGTAAGTTTCATGTGCATATTTATTCAGATATAGATAACAAAACCAGCTTACCACTTCAAAACACGTGGCAAGCTTTAGCAAAGTTCTAGCATAATTATGAAGCCGTCCAAATGGCATAAAAAACAGAGCATTCAGAACTTCCACTAGCTGGAGGTTTTCCTCATTCTTCTCAGACAGTTTCTGTAGCAGCTCCTGATTTTTACTCAAGAAGTCTCTAAATGATGGGACCATTGGGGAACAGAGGGAGGAGAGAAAAAAAGACAGCAAGATATCAGTGATGTTTTATACAAATGAGCTCAGAATGCCCCTTTTTGGATTATCACAAATCAATAAAAATTATAAAAGGAAATGCATGCTGTTTATTAATCTATTCCCAATTTAGTTTAAGGAAGTACAGTAATACAGACATGTAGCGCTCTAACAACTGCAACACAGGACTTTTTTTTTTTTTTTACTTCTACTCTCACATGCTCAGTCATTAAACTGGTTGAAGAAAGTTGACTAAGTTGCCCCGCTTGGAGAGTAACGAACTGTCTTTTTCCCCTTTAACACTCGATTAGTAAAAAAGCTAACAGGTGGAATGGCTTCCCCATTACCATTAGAGTGGTAAGTTTCTAACACTGTCAATTCAGACAAGAAGGCCTGAAAGAATCTTATCTTTGCTCCAATGCACTTCCCTAAATATATCCAAATAATCTCTTCCCCACCCCTGCTGTTCAAGGCAACTGACCAGTTTTTTCCCCTAACTAGAAAAATTACATCCTACCTCAAAGAAAGGCAGGAAATCTGTTCAATCCTCAGTCTGATTTCCAAGAGGGAGAACTAATCTAGTTCAGAGAAGAAGAGGGAAATGATTCTGAAGACAATGCATTAGAACACAAACCCAGGATTTCTTCATTAAAAGGAAAACAAACCTACTTTTCCCTCTCCTTCACCATATCTGTGCGCACACATGTGCTGGCACATGCGACACATTTGCATTAAAACACATCCAGCTGGGAAGCATTGAAACCACAAGCTGCAAAAATCAGGTGATGTTGAGCAAGCAGGCCCCAGGGACAGCAAAACAGATCAGAGAATTGCACAGCAGGGTCCCTAAGAATTCTACACGATTAGTATGATGCCATTTCACACATCAAAATAACACACCTTGTTCAAGTCTACTAACGATATTTAAGAACTCTCTTGTTCAACAAGCCTTAGGAATAAAGTCTTCTTTAGAGAGAGACAATATTTCTTAATTTTAAATTTAACCATCTGGATGGCTTGCATTTTTAAAGCGCTTTAAGAACCTCACATGGAGGCCTCTCTGTAGAAAAGTGTCAAATAATAACAGATTCATAACACTGAGTATAGCTCATCTGCTCTTTCAGAGGAAATGCTCAAAAACCTGCCAACAATAGAGACCTTGATTGAAGCTAGCGCTTTTTTAAAGTTGGGACTACTTCTAATGCATGTGTATCACAGAATATCCATAAGAGACAGGCTCACAGCATTAACCACTGACTTAAGACAGTATCCCTTGAGGAGGGGGACAGGGGGAAATTCATCATTATCAGCAAAGATATTCTTGACTTCCCTTTGCCAGTAGCAGGACAAAACTTCTAAGACATCTCCTCCCTGAAGTTTCAGAACCTGAAAAAGTGTTATTCACCTAACGGCTGCAGTAGGAGAAGTTGTGACACCTGGCAGTGACAACCGATGTGAAGAATTCAGTATCAGTAATTTCATCATCCAGAACTTTTCAGTACTAATTATAATTAAGATTATACTTGAATTAAGATTTCCTGTAAGTCACCCTAAAAATCTTGACGCAGAAAGATTCTCAGTGTCTCTCTGCAGTGGGACTTTGTATTGAGTCTTTGGCACTGGTCCTCAGGCACAGAAGATTCTTTGCATTACGCACTGTGGTGTTTCAAAGAACTTCTAATACCATGATTTACACTACATTCAAAGTACTCCATAAATAGCTGTAACAGAATTACGCCCAGATTACAGAATTTAGGAAGGAAGGAAAGCTGGCAATTCCTCAGATGAGTTGAAAAAATACCCTCATTGCAACAACTTCTTCACAACACTAGAGCGAAAGATGCATGGTGTCATTACTTTATTTCTTAGACAGAGATACTATTGAACTGAGAAAAAAAGCTTTACTTTATGATCTATAAACTTCAAATACACTGTCTCGGGCCTTAAGGTACAATTCCTTCCTCGCATTTAAAAGCATCTATGCATGAAATAGAGTAAAGCAGCCTTGAGAGGCAGAGGAGATACACATGCAGAAATGTTATTTTTGCTTCATTTTAAAGCATTTCCATAAACTTAAAGCGTTCAAATGAAAGTGAATTCACATTATCTACTCTTACTAATTTTTAAAAAAATTTGCTGTTCTGTATTTTACTAACAGCAACATTTGAAAGAATAAAATACAAACAAACACTGAATAGATGATGAAAATTTAACCTCAAGACTAAACTTCCAAAAAAATCATTATCTGAAATCTATTTACATTTCTTTCAAGGATTTTACAGTAATTTATGCTTTTTTCTTCCTTTCTACACCTTCAAGATAAAGTAACTGAATTCATTCAGCAGCATTTTAACCTAAGTTTTTATCACAGTTGAAAGGAAGTAACTTTATCTGATGGAAAAGGAGTTAAGTGTACTGAAGCAAGCTGAGACTGAGTTTCTGCATGGTCTTCTGCACAATTCTTTACAGTACAGTTCTTTGCTAGTTGATCAAAAACTCCAGAAAATGGTAAAGGTTTGCTTACATTGCTGGCTTTGCAAGGAGCATAAATCCTCCCATTACGAGGAAGTTTGTTACTGAAGTACAATACCTAAAATGGGGAAGAAAGAGAGCTTCAGTTACAAAATAAGAACATCCCTGGAAATAGCAACTGTTGAAATTCCAACAGTTTACCAATAAGATCTGTAATATCTTTTACAAGTAATCTTAAGTACTTGGGAAAGTATTAAACAGTGAAACACTCAATATTACTGGAACGCAACACAACTGGAACATGCATTACTGTTGCACTTTGCTGCTGCCCTTAGCACAATGCAGAGGGCTTACTTTGCAAATGAAAGTATTTTTTGTTTCCCCCAAATTTGGGCATGTACAGAATAGGTTTGTTTCAGAAGTGTAACACTGCTAGCTTCTAATTATATTCAAGATGGGAATTTCTCTTTTTCTGCTATTCAACATTCTACCTTTCGCTTCTCCCAGCCATAAAAAAAAAAAAATTAAAAACACCATCTTTCTCAGAGGGAAGAAGCTCAGCTTAGCCTAATTAACAGATAATGCTTATGTTGCCTGATGGATCCTTGGAAGATACTCAAGGCATTATGCTGAGGAGAATGCATAGGTTCTGATGCCATACACAAAAAAAAAAAAATGTGTAAAGCATTAGAAAGCAAAAGGGGAGAGTAGAAAACAGGCAGTAACAATAACAACAGAAATTAGGTATTTCAGTCTTTGACAGGGAGGAAGAAGAAATTAAGAAACCCTTCTAATCTGAGTGATGAGAACCAATTCTGGAAATCCAGATTACAAGAAAAACTGAAGCGAAAGACTATGTAAGAAAAGTAGAAAATGCATATTTACAATTATGAACGACCCATTCAATAAACAGGGAAGAAAGCTTCTTTTAGAGTGATATGGCGTAAGTTTATCACTGACCCAGTAAAAGTGGTAACTGTTGTGCTTCTGTTAGACAGAAGTGCAACTAGCTGCACGTTCAAAATGCTACCGCATAACAACTGTTGATGATCTTGAAATTTTGTTCCTGTAGAGATTTTCAAGTGTCTGGTAACCACGACTATAGTCAGAGAGGACATTTTTAGACTCTCCCCTCTGTGAACCCACTATTTTTCACAAAAGGCTGTAGGTATTAAGTATGATGAGACTTCTGCTACATTTGGATGAAATTATCCAGCAACTACTAAAGTTATGGAGAAGAAAGCAAGCAAAGAGCATGACTGCATAGACTTACTCTCTCCAAAGCATTAAGCTAATAAAAATAACAACCAGGATATTTCAGACTTAATTTTGAGCACTAAAGCAGCTCTGTCTGTTAGGTTGAAGGTGTAGCGCTAGCTACTGAGCACACATCAGAGCAGAAGCAGCGTTCCTCTGCGAGACACTTTTTAGTTAATGACTATTGAAAAGGCATTTTGTAACTACAATAAATGCCCAAAGGTAGCTTTTACTTAGTAGCCTAGCCATGGTAACTCTATTACATTGTATTACAAGAGCCTTACTATTAAGTAACAAACAGCACTTTTTAGTAGGTATACAAACACAAACCAAAGAGGAGTTTGTACATAGTTTTACATTAAGGAAGCTGAAGCTGCCCAGTGTGCTCCACTGGTGAAGACTTTGAAATATATAGCGCACTACAAAACGAATTAATTTGTTGTGCAAATTGCATTCTTGCATTTTAAAATGTATGGAGAGTTTTACACAATTACTTCTGTAGCTTTCCTTATGATCTGCCTTTCCCTAGCTTAGGGGTTGTTGTGGTCAGTAGATTAAGCCTGCAGAGACTCAAGATGAGAAGGAATTGGATACTTGCTCAGTGTAACTATCCAAAAAGAGACTGGAATGCTTCAGGATGGCCAAGCTTCTGGCTTCTTTTACTCCATGAAGAAAGCTACTTAAAGAAGCTCCATGTTGACCGATGAGATAGCATAGCTTGCTGAACCTGCTTGCCATTTCCTGCAACAAGTGGATTGTATTTGCATTGCCCAAATTATCTGGAACAGACCAGAAAGCAATTTAGCTTACCTTACAGCACCCATTAATAAAGAGAATTACCAGAATGTGCTGTTCAGATGTTTTATCAGCAATTTCACCTCATGGCTACATTATCCAGAATCAGGAATTCAACAATTTTATACTAAATACAGCTTAAATAATTAAGTTATTTCAGATGAAACAGTCAGGAAAAGTGCAAATACTAATAACATAATGCAGACATCAAAATGCAGCTATATTTCACCAGTTCATCTGAATAGGGGAAAAGAGCAAGACCTTAGCTTTATCTAAAAGTATATAATCATTTTGAAGTTTTGCATAAAGAAATTTTTGTGGAACATAGGGGAATAATATCAAAGAAAATACTAAATTAAGTTCTTACCTAAACCTAAAAGAGGTCGAAGAACCTGAGATTTGATCTCACTCAGTTTGAAATAAAACCTTCTCTCAGTAGAAGCCAACTCATGCAAACTGGCAATATATCCCATTACATTTTTGTCTACTAAGACCAAACAGTTGTCACCACCAGCTATCACATTGCTTATGTACCCTATCTGAAAGAGGAAAAAGAGAAAAGAAAAAACAACAGCTTTAACATTGGTCTTCTTACTCTCCAATTTAAAAACAGGGTAATGCAGAATAAAGCATGTCTTTAGGAGGACTAAGTAACAGTAAGTATTAATTGCCTACAGTGACAAGCAATCCATTCAATACTGGTTTAATACAAGAATGATAAAACTAGAAGAAACATTTATAGTCAATGCTGTTCATTTTCATTTTTTCATTTTTTCCTGGTACTGACAGAGCCTAAAAGACAATAAATAGACCATCTTTTAAGGTCACTCATACAGCCATTCCACGTTAAGATATAGTGACCTGAAGTTCAGTCGCTTTTAGAATTGCGGTGTACTTCATGCTTTTATCAACAATATTGATATTAAATAGTATCACATCCTGGTTTGAGGTAAAACAGAACCAATTTTGGTCAGTAACTTTGCTTCTTAGCTGGGCCTCTCTAACAACTGAAATTAACAGCATATTGTGCAGACAATGTTCACTCTCTCAGAGTGATAAGACCTATGTTTACAGCTGATGCCCAGGCATGGTATGCAGAGAGGACCTTGCTTACACTTATTGCTATAACACCCAAGGCCAACCAACTTTGTTATTTGCCCCGTTGGAGGGTCGGAAGCGGAAAAGCATAGTGGGGTCCCACCTGCAAGGAGGAGCGGACAGGACAGGTGACCCAAAACTGACCAGTGAGGGTATTCCATCCCATCTGCCTCATGCTCAGTATAAAGGCTGAGGGATCGAAAGGTCAGCTCTCTCTTCCTGCAATGGCCGACGTCTGAGGACTCCTCTGTTCGTCTGCCTGCGATCCCGAATGCAGATCCGGAATCCAGTTCCCGTCCATCACTGAGTTCAGTCTGGGACTGCCCCAGTGCCAGCCGGTGTCGTGACTGTCATCTCAGGAGCTTCATATGGTTTTGTATATATTTCATTATTTCATTTTTATTTTATTATTAATATTTCATTAAAGTAGTTTAGTTCCTTCTAAACGCATAAGTCTTTTTCCTCCTCTGCCCCTCTCTTTGAAGAGGGGTAGAGGAGAGCATCTGTCGGTCCCATCTGGGGTCCCCCAGGTCCCCAGTAGCCGATTTGGCCTAAACCACAACATCTCATTACATTAGCTATTTCTCCTATTAACTAGGAATTGAGACTAACGAGGCTTTAATAATGACTGTGCTCTGAACTATAGTCCTTTCTGTACCTGAAAGATGTCAATTTATGGATAAGGATAGTATTACAGTACCAATAAACTGGGCTAATACTAATAACTACACTAACACCACAAGTGGTATTAGTAGGCATTTGCTTTCCACAGTAGTTGGAAGCAAAATTCTTCTTTGAAGTCAGCAACAAGTGCCACTGATGCATTGTGGCTCCTCACTAATTCTGGTTCACATGCAATACCATATAGTAATTCAGTGTTTGAGTCCTACTTTTATTTCCTTTGTTGTTAAATAGAGAATTCCTTAGAAACATTGAGCCAGAGTTGTTCAACAAGCAAACCATAGGCTAATTCTGATATGCAAGAGCCCAGAAGTCACCCTCAAGAAAAGATAAGGGAATGGCTAGCAACAATCTTATAGAAGGAATATATGCACATGCATGCACACACATGCATGTGCATATGCATGGACCCAGTGTCTAAATCCTTGTCCCTCCTCAAAACTCCTCTCCAACTCCTACTCTGCCCAATCTAGGGAAATAGCAACGAGGCCCAGAAGAGCTGAGGCGAAGAGCTGCTTTCTACCCTCACCATCTCCTTCTTGTTATCTTTTAGGTTGGTCTGAAATCACACAACTTGGAAGAGGGCATGCAGTCAGAGTACACGCTCCCCCACCTCACGCCAACTTCAAGGCAGATACGAAATTCACCTTGATGAAGAAAATTGCATAGGGGCACCTCCTCTCTCCCACAAACATGCAAATGCACATTTTGGTGCCTTTGCTTGGTTCCCCCTTCACACCCATAAGTAAGGGAGGGGAAGAGAAGGAGATGGTGCAGAACTTGGGGGGACCTTCTGCCCACTCGCAAACCAGATGCATAGGAAGCAGAATGGAATAGAGCAAGCAGTGCCCTCAATCACTTAAGAAACAACAGGAAAATGAAGAGCAATAGCAGCAAAGAATAAACACATGAATACTGTGGTGAAAACAGAGCACAATATAAGGGTGCACTTCTGCAACACACACACACGCGGAAGGGAATGGATTAGACACACTGGAAACATCTCATCCCTCCAATAGGAGGAAAGACGAATAAACAGGCAGGGAAGAGAACAATACTAACTAGGCTTCCTCTCTGCCCTCCATAATCCTCCTGATTTTCCTTCTAGGAACCAGTTACTTGACTTGACATCCTTAAAGCTAGTTGAACAACCAGCACCGTGCTATTTCCAAAAAGCATCAGTATGATTTGCACTAAACTTAAAGGAAATACCACTCACCTTACTACAGGATAGTAACAAGACTGGACTCTTAGTACAGCTATTTTCATACAAATTATTTTCTGTAGTTGTCTCCTGACCACTATAATATAATCCAGGTTGGAAGTCTTCCTCATCTGCCAAGAAGAGGGAATAATCCAGTCCTGCTGCTGTACTCCAAACACCATTACCACACACCTGAAATTCATGAGGAATGAAAAGACATTAGAAATCATCACCTGAAGCTGAAAGGAGAGGAGAGTATTTAACTCTTCTAGCCACACATACACATAATACACCTGCCAAGAAAAAGTATTGCAACCGGTAATTTTTCAACTTCAGTGTCTCACAACAAATACATTTCTTGCGTGTATACTGAAAGTTATCTTTCTTTCCAGTCTTATTTCCAATGGTTGATTTTCTGTCTTTAAATTATAAATCAGTTCTATTTTTAAATGGATATCAAGTGAGCTTGATTAAAGCTGGGACACTACTCTCCCCTCTACATTTAACTGGGAAATCTATAATTTGGGACAGCTAACATGCTGTACATCAATTTGCGTAAGGCCTAAGCAGGAAAACCCTACAGCTAGTTTTCCACTACGACAAACACCAGAAAACAGCCAAGGATCTGGTCTAACCCAAAATCATCATTTGGCTATTCACTCAATGCGATGAAAAGTTCAAAACAAACAGAAAATCCACTGTCAAAACAACTCCGGAAATACAAAAATGAACAACAAATATGTTCGTGGTCTAGCAAAGTTAAAATGCTAGAAGAATGTTTACAATACAAACAGCATTCCAAGGTATTTAAAAGTTTCAGCACTGCAACATCGGTATCAAAGAAACCAAATATAAGGTAGAAGTGAAATTTAGTAAGAAGATACAACCAGTCACATTTCCCAGTTTTAGAACTTCAATGTGGTGAAAAAACAGTGGAAGTCTGTGTAAAGGATTTCTTGAATAGATTTTCACAAGCTCATCTAAGGATCACATTCACAGTAAAAGCCAAAGAAATCAAAGGCTCTATTAGTATACAACACAGAGATACATAAACAAGGTCACTTTTAGAAATTACTTTGCACTCATTTGTATAAGAAGAGACCCTAAACTAAAAGAAGAAAACCACAGAAAACAAAGTACCTTTGTGAGACGAGGGACTGTTGTTGGGGAATTCAAGTGACCAAGCTGGCCAGAGGTATTGCTGCCCCATGAATACACCTGTAAGAAACATAGCTAAATGTGAGAATGTCAGTTTATATACATGGACGCATACCGAATTGTACTGGTACAACACATCAAGTGTGCAAACACACACAAGTCAAGGGTACAAGACTCATGTACCAAGAAGCACTTCCCGAATTTCCACTGTCTTCCTATGTTCTCAAATTGTCTTCTGACATTCAGAAATGGAATGCACCAAATCAAGTCATTGCAATCTTTAACCATAATGTTGATGGTACACGCAGAACTTTGGCAGAAGTAGAATTAAAATTCCACACTACTTCCAAGTTGCCTCCCAGAAATGGAAACAAAAGTTTAAAAGCAAAAGAAACGAAAACCTACAAAACACCAAACACGACAATTATGTCATAGATAAGCAATAAATATTAGCAATCACTTGTACCTGGGATTTGGCAGTGAGTGCTAAGGAATGATGGCCACCAGCAGAGAGGTGAATCACTTCTTTACCATCTAGGCTTTTCACACATAGTGGCTGAAGCCTGTCAATCCCCAGAACCAGGGGAAGATGAGGGCAGAGGGGAGAGAAGGGAAAAAAAAAAAAAAAAAAAAAAAAAAGAGACTATCAGAGGTATTCTAAAGACAAAAATAAATTCCAAGTTTTATTTTTTTCCCCCCGAAACAAATCAGAAAAAACAAACATACATGGAGTCTTTTGGCAATAAACCAGCTTAGTCAAAAAAGTCATGAAGGGTGAAAGTTTATGATAAATCTCCCCTCAATTTGGAAAAAGTCAAAATAACAAGACTCTGAGTGATTGCAAGGGGAAAAGTAATGACTGATTGACATTCAGTAACAATACAGCATAAAACATGTAACCTGGAGGAACTTAGGTCACAACACAAAAGAACAAGAACACAATGCAAGGCAGTTCACCACATTTGAGAAAACTGACTATTGAAGATTTCCTAGTGACCTACTAAAAAACATTTATCAAAGAAATCTCACCTCGGCAGAACATCGCCATGTCCTAGCTGTCCTTCCTTCCCCTTTCCCCAGCTCCACACTTCCGTTCTTAGAGAGGGTAAAAGAGCATCAGCCTCACCACTGTAGGTCGGAGTCAGAGCGACAGTCCTCATTTTTGCCCGCCCTACTTTCCTTAAGAGTCTTGGAGAAACTGGAAACAGGCCAAGAAATAGAAAAATTGTTCACCATTTTAGGTAAATATATCACTCACTGTGTTACACAGTAACAGCACCATTTGAGATAACTGATCAGGATTTCTTAAAGCAGTCAGAGCAAAGGCTGACACGTAAGAAGATAGGTTATGATAAACAGAAGTTATGTGTGCTAAAAGTAGATAGGTCCCAACTAATTTTTACCAGCTATTAAAGGATAACGGGCACATGAGAACTATACAGTTATAGAGAGGCAAATGAATCAAAACAACTATACTTTTTTTAAAAGTGTGCTTTGAAAAAAAAAAAATATCCTTGCAGTAAACAAAAGATTTCAATACTTCCTAAAAATCTCCCCTCAGATCCAAGATCAATACAGAACTAAACCATGTACCCAACCATTCAGAACAGTTAACAACAGTATGAAGGAAGAAGGTCATTAACTCTGAAGTTTGGCAGTGGGAATTGGAATACTTCTAGGTCCCTGGCTCAAAACCAGCTCAGTGCAGTAGGGATTACAGACCACACAGATTTTTATCTGCTGTGCAACCTCTATGAAAGATAGCTTGCCGTCATTTTGCAATAAGATGCCCAGACTACTACAATGTGCCTGCTTTCCTTACTTCACCAGTAAAAAAACATCCCTAAACTCGCTATGCTTTTCATTTTCTTAGCATGCAGTATCTGCTAGTCTTAACTCTCTCCCCACCGCCTTCAAGTCCTAAGATACAGTTTATAATTCATAAACACCCTTGGTAGGTGATTAGATTTATGTTCAAAAAATGTTTTATTTTCAGTTATAAAGCTCCACATTATTATAACTTTTCCAGTTTCTTGGTTTTCCAACGTGCTTTTTTACCTTGTGACAACAAGCCAGGCAGGGAAAGTCTTCGACTCCCTCCTTCAGACTCCTCCTCTCTAATGTCTACTAAACTGGAACTCTTCTTCCCCTGCATGGATTCCAGTTTGACCTGCTCTTCTCGACTGTCTTTCAGAGCTTCAGGCCCTGGGGAACCGCCGCCAGACTGAGATCCTGGTTCACTTGAAGGTGTGCCATAGAAGTTCATTACTTTCTTCAGAGACAATGCTCCAGCTTCATAGGTAGCAGCTACTCTCACACCAACTGCTGACGCACAAGAGGCCACCAAGCTGTTCAAGGCAGATGTGCTGGTACCTGGAGGGCCAGGGATACAAGCACCGAGTTGTTCTTCTTGAGAAGGCTAAAACCAAAGAAAAATTGAAGACTATCATACCAGACAGCACATAACAGTAGAATGATGATATACACATGCACTATTCAAACTATATGCTATACTGAACAAGACATTTTGAGGAAGCTTTTTATACTTAGGTGTATATCTATTCCTCAGAATCATATTTTTTTAAGGTAGGACCAAGAACCATTTATACATGGACTGGGATTTGACTCTTGCACTTGTCTTGTAGCTCACCCATAACAGACTGTGTCTGGGTTTTTTTAAATACCAAAAAAAAGGATCTTTACAAACAAATATAGAAAAGGACTTAATTTTAGAATTATTATCAACTTCTGCCACCAATTGGATTGCATCAGTGAGCACGCTAAATTTACAGAGAGGTAAGTTCTCCCTTCAATATGTTAAAAGGAAAACAGTGATTCAGGGATTCATTTTGCAAGGTCTATCTTAAGAGCATTCTGGGCTACGTGTCCTCTTATGCTACCGTTGTATCCATATAAAGCTTTGTTAATATTTAAGTCATACTAGGGACAAACTGACTGAAGGTAATTACTAGCACTAGCACATGACTATCTATAATAGTAATCAATTTACTCACCAAATAGAAATAACGTACAAGATTTTATTTGCCAAATAGTTTGAATGTTAAAACAAAGACAGCAAAGTCCAATTTCCCCACCTAATACATGGTGGGAAATAACATTAATATAAATATTATAGCTCATTTTTTCGTGCCAGAAGGAAAACTATCTTTGACTTATATTTTCGTGAAACATAAGGCTAAGGGATTGGTCCTACTTACTTGTACTTCATTCCTATTCATAAAAGGTATGCCTTGTAATACAGAAAAGCAAACTTGATTTGTGCAGGAAAGCAAAGAGAAACAAAGAATTTTACTAACGCTGAAACATTATTTGAGAGTCCTTATCTCTGCTCTTCACATGTATGCTCAATTGTGTTAAAAGTCAGTGAATCAATTCCAGGCTTGTTTATTCCTGGAACTGTGCGAGGGAAACAGGACTCTGGAAATATTCCAAGAACAAGGAGTTGAGAAAGGGAGCATGAAACTACGTGTTTCAGTCATTTCCTAAAAGCAGGAGGTCTCGCATGAGTCTGAGAGGCCCACAACTGCTAGAATGCATCTGTATTAGCAAAAAGCAAAAGGAAGGACAACTGTGTTCACACAATGTTTATTTCTCTGAAATAAGTTTCCCTCAGAATAGGAAAACATAACTTGGTGAATCACCAAGTTACTGGATAGTTTGTTTTGGTTTTAATACTACTTTCTTTTTTTCCCCAATCAGAGTTGATAACAAAAATCCTCTACTTATTAGGCACTGTGAAATTTATCTCCCAGAACCATTGTGAAAAATTTCTTAGTGCAACTATAAAAAAAAATTAAGAAACTGATATCTACACAACACTTGAAATGACAAAAGAAATTTTCAGAGTTCTGCTATGAATTCTGCATACGGGGCCACAGAGTGGCAACTTTTCCTACAGATGTTACCTTTACCATAAACTATCCAGCAGAACAGTACTTACACAGGGACTGCGAGACGGCACTGCAAGATTCTGGATTAGTTTACTGTCTAATAGGTTTTGGGTTGCATCTTCTTCCCCCCACCCCAAATAAGATTTTTTTCAAAACAGTGGAAAAAGTAGTATTTTGGCAGGGCACTAGGAACATCTCTTCAACCTTCAAAGCAAGCGTTTTCTGATGCTTATTAGAAATTATTACTTTACTGTTCTGCTATAGCATCAGAACAGTATTGTTAAACCATTTTCCACATCACACAAAACAGATCAGTACTTATCTATTTCCCATCCCTGCTTATGCAGTTTATGCAACCCCTACATGATTAACACTAGAAGCCTTTTGGTCAACACTTTAACATTACATTTATGATCTCTACTCACAATCTAAAATTTTTAACTGATTGAGAAATTAGATTTGTGAGAGATTTGTTCTACATATAGAGAAGAAAGTTTTACCTTAAAGGTAAATTAGACAAGTCCCAGCTTACTGCCCCACACAAATGGGAAACCCATGCATCACAAAACAGCTGAAGAATGGGAAACTGGCTTATGTGGTTCTGGTACTGTGGACCACAAGGAAGAGAGACTACAGCACTGTCAAGGCTGCTCACACTAAAAGCTTACAATTGAACAAGGATGTAAGACAAAAACTCTTCCACTTAAAAAGTCGAGAACCATCCCAGAGAAGAAACACCTTTAAAATACAGGAACAGCACAACTACATTAAACTAACAGAATTTTTCACTTGTGAAAAGAGTAACATTGTCATGTATACAAGAGGAGTTGCAGCAAAATAAGAGCTAGTGACTAGGTACCAACCTGCTCAGGTTCTGTGCAGATGTTTTTCTCTAGGCTCTCATTTAATGAGCGATCTGCTAAAGTGACGAAGTACTCTCTCACTTCTTTTTTGTCTGGGAACAGAACATTTCCAGGACTAGAAATTCCACTGTCTTCCTGTCCATCGTTGCTGGAAAGCATACTTGCTCCATCAGATTCTAAAGCAACAAGTGCATGTTCTTCCACAAGTGGTTTCTGACAGTCTTCGCTCTGACTACCTGTTACATTTTTTCCTTCTAGGGTCTCCAATGAGGGACAGAAGACGTGGTTTTCTGGTTGGTTATCAGACAGTGCTACACCCAGCGGGCAACAGTGACTATCTGAAATGATTACATGATCCTCCTTGTCTGTCATGGTTATGAGGAGTTGACTGCAATGATTGCACCTTTCTGGGATAGGCTTCATTTCCTGCACAGGGAGACATTGTACCAAAGCCAGGCTGTGGTAGGCTCCACAAGCAATCTGGAGCACAACACGTCCCGCCAGGTGCTCTACCTTCTGTGGCTTCGTCACTGGAAAAGTTGTTGTTATGAGACCGAGTTGGCAGCCACTCCCCCAAGCCCATATCTCTCTGCTTAGTGATAGTGCCAGTGTGTGTTCCTCTCCACATGCCAGCTGCAAAATCCTTACTGATAACAGAGGACTGGTTTCAGAATCAGAAATACTGATAGGTTGTGGCTCTGGCACACATGGCTGATTAGCAATTGCACACTGGCCAGCAGAATTGTCCCCCCACATGTACACCACACCACTTTCCGTCACGGCTCCATTATGGAAGCTGCCAGCTGCCACTGTAATAACATGATGCCCAAGCAAAGTATTTTCTAAGATAGGACTGTTAGCACATGACTCCTCCAGTCCTGATCTCCAGGGCAGTTTTCCGAAACTGTAGACCTCTCCACCTGGGGGAAAAAAAAAAACAAAACAAAACCTAGCATGAGTCTAATGAAGTTAAACCAATACAAAAATTTGAAGAGAGATTCAGATAAACACATACCAAGGTTTAGCCTACTCCAGCCTCAGCAAAACTATGGCTATTGATATATGAAGACTGCTGGTTGCTCTCTGCTACGACTGCTCTTCTATACTTCATGTTAACGTTACCCTGTGCATGCATTGTTGAATTAAGTCATGCTTTTCTGCTAAAAATTCTACTCTACTGAAGGGTATTTATTGGTCCTTTCTATTTTAAGAACATACAACGTATTAAGGACAAACAACCATGCTTAAAGAGCATGACAAAGTACAGAGCTCATCCTTCCATACAGAGATCTAGCACCAAACTGCAGTTTGCCATCCTACAGTAAAATAGGATTGCCCTACCAGGTGGAAAGCAGGAGGGGTGGGTAAACGTTATCTTGCCACTGGTTTGATGTTGTACTGCAGCCTCTCCAAAATTTCATTACCTTTACCTGAAAAGGTTGCAGCAATGCCAGGTCAAGTTACCTTGCTAATTCTAAAGAAAAGCAGAAATCTGTGTTTAAAATGAACAGTTTTCACAGTGATAGAAAAACAGTAAATCATATCCACAAACAGCATGCTTTTTGCACACATGCAAAAAGTCCTTTAATTATGAAAGAAACATGTTCTAAGAAAACCACTGGAGCTGCATAACTCCAATACAGGAGAGGTGCTTATAGCAGGCTCACCAATAACCTGGAATCTTTCTTTCAAAAACATCAGAGAAAAATCAAAGCAGCAACTTCCAGCTTAATTTTTACAACTGTATGCCCATTGATCAGTACAAGTAAGGACCAAGCTATGCAAATACTTAAAGGGACTGGCTTTTAGAAATGCTTTGATTCACAGTGCCAAACTTCTCACAAACCAAGACTCACTCTAATGCATCTATTAGCTACAATTTTTTCCAGAAGCACACAGAAACCAAAGCCCTTATACATCAAGAGAACCTCTTGCCATACTGTCTTTTTTGAATGAAAGACATCACAAGAAATGTCATTTTGAGTTAATATGGTTCAGATCGCATCCTTTAAACAGGAAATCCAGAGTCATTGTTAAAAGAAAAATAAAAGTATGAAAGAAGACACGATGCATATAATTTCTATTCCAACACAGTTTTAAGTAACTTATAACCAAGAAGAAAATACTGGCAAAGTTAAAAATCTAACTGTTTAAGAGTTGTGTATGAGACACATATAGAATAAAAAAAAAATCTAGAAGAAGAAAAATTGACAATAGCTAAAGTTTGTTATTGGCTCAAGTCTTTGCAGTTAAGATGTTTATTACCTTCTGTTAGAAGTAACCCATGATGTAGTCCAAGGGCTGCCTGTAATACAGTCTTTCCACTGAGGCCTGGAAGCCTTTCTGGAGTTACAGAACAGGAACCAGCCTTCCAAACATAGACCAGGCCTCTCTCTTTGGCTCCTTCTGCCTCTTCTGAGCTACAAAAATATTGAAGGAAATACAGAATCCGCTTGGAACTTTTCTGTGGTTCAGTAATGCATAGTTTGCTTTTCACATATGTAGGAAAGAGTAATTCGGACATTAGTTTTAATTTCAGGAAGTCAACATATTCCATTTACAATTTGATAATTTAAATGTTAATTAAATGAAAAATAAGTATCTTCTATTTGAAAACATTAGCTTTCTTTTTCATTTGTACTTTACTGCCTGAAAAGCAGCTGATCTTGTCACTAGTAAATTAAAGACACATTTATTCACAACTGATATAGCCTTTATATTATATATTGTATTTGTTGCTCACAGCAACAACATCAAATTAATACACAATTCTGCCATTATATGCTGAGGAAGATTGTGGCATCAGTTCTACCCACATGCAAGCAACTCTGTTCCTGTCTGCACGGTGATATTTATAATGTTAACTCTTCCTGTGTTAGAAGGCAGAAGGAACATTTCTGGTGTATTAGATTTTATTCATGTTTTGTATTATTCAGCTTTTGGAAATCAAAATGCAGAAAAAACAGCCTTATAATCACATTTTTATCAGCTACATAGAACATCAAGTATGCTGGAAATACACATAAATGTCTCAAATAACATTTGCTTTGAAAGCAATTAAGCAAAGGATATATTGTGTGCAGATTTTACCATGAACTGATTGCTCCCACTCACAGTATCTTCAAAACATTATATCTATAAGAGCTCATCCTTTATACTTTCCTTTCTACCTTTAGAGAGAAAAATGAGGTTTTGGTTGGGTGGTTTTTTTCCTCTTTTAATTCTTAGTGAGTTTCTGAGATTCAAATGAGCCAGTCATTCAAATCAATTGAATCAAGAAAAAAATAAGAACCATCAAAGATCCTGAAACACAATGGAAGTATCTGGGCTTGCAGGAATGACTGGAACTATCCAAAGATGCTTTAACACTTCCAACGCACTCTGGTTTGAATGCTCAGTCAGCAACTTCTCCCATTCAGCACAAAGAAATTCCTCAGAACTTTCACAACAAGCACACAGTTTTAACAATTTATGTAACCACTTGATTGAAACAAACACAAAACGACATTTTCAACATCAATATAGACTGACAGCATTTCAAGTTCAATCAAGAGTTCTCTTTAAATTCATTTAAAACTTTATATAGAATAGACTGTTATCCACCCTGCAGGAAAAAGTAGGTTTCTCTCCTTATTTCCCACCAATCAAGTAATTTACTCCCCACATAAATCAGTTCTTGCAGCTTTGCAGGAACCTGTGAGGTTAAATATATAAGGTAGCAAGAGTGTTGATGAAATGGCAATCTTTGTCTAAAAGAAAGGGCACAAAACCCCAAATGTATTCAAATATTGAAGCAAACCTGGAAAAATCTAGTCTGATAGGCCTCATTATGGACAACTTATGCAAGTAGCACATTCAAAAGCCGTAAGGCCCTATTCGTGCACACTGCTGTTTTTTTAAACCACTAGTTGTGGTGCATAGGAAAAACAACACCTTTCCACAATCTGCCTAAGAAACATTCAAAATAACTAACTGATGAAATTATGTCTCTGTTCCTGTGCCCATCCCCAATCTCTCTTCTTTTCCCACATAACAGAAAGGAAAAAAAAAAAAATCAACACAAAGGTGACAATCAATAACTCTTATAAAATTCACAGAAGTAATTTAATCCAAACATACATAGTATTAAAATGCGGAGTCGATGTTGTATTTTAAATACATAGGACTTGTGTTTAGAAGTAAATTAAAAATGAACAAAATGAGTAACATACAGGCCAGTTAGAAAAATCCAACATCATAGGTAGGACATTTAGTTAAAAATCAAAACACAGATTTTACTTAGATGGATAAAGCACTCCAAAGAACACAACGTGATAACACAGAGAGTTTTCATCAACATACTGTGCATTAAATTAAGTCTAAAGCCCAATATCTGGGCTTTTACCCATTTAATAATTCTTCAGAGAACAGTGTAATACAAACTTGGACAGTTACATACCAGGATTTATTACAAGACAATAATTTTCCATCCCAGAAACATCTGACCTCTGTCTGGTATCTTAGTGGAAGAAACAATGAGCAAAAGAATAGTCTACTATTGGTCCAGAATCAAAATTCACAGGTGCAGCTAACAGATACGACTTACTGTTTACCAGAGAATGCTACTGTCAAGTTTCCAGCCTCTGGCTATCCCTCTACAAGTTTCAACAATCAACTTAAAAAATAAGTTGCTGTTGTAATAAGTTGAGTGTTATAGACATAAATGAAACTAAAGCTAAGTTACTTCTCCTCTTCCCTTTAGCATAAGTTACATAAAGATTACGCTGACACTACTTAATCATTTTACAGGATCATCATGAGCTGGCATGTTTCAGGCAGCCTCTATGGCTTCACCTCGCAGTTCATTCTCACCTTTTTTCCTGTGAGTCCATCTGTCAGTGGCAGCACTCCATCACCACCAAATCGTTCCTCTTTCAAAAGGAACAATATAATTTCCACAAACTAAAACATAAAAAACAGCTATTTAATTGCAAATAATGTTAAGCCTAAAAAACCCCAAACCCAACCAATAAACAAGAAGCAAAGCTTTAGATCCCATGTTAAATAAATAAGCAATTCCACAGCACTAGGATGGTTGAAATATTTAGTTCACTCACACTGAGTTGGCAGACAAAAGCTAAACAGCCAGACTTGCCCTACCTACTCATCTCACAATAGGTCTATTGTAAGGACAGACTGAACAAAACCTAGTTCAAAGGCAAAAATTATCATCAATCTCTCTCTATAGTTCTCAGAATACCACTCAAGAAACATCAAAGCAGGATAACTGATCCATTTTCAGTCTAATGTGAGACAGAATTCTATGCTCATAAGATAAACAGATTTGTATGAGCAGAACATGATTAAGACTTGAATTCATAACTGTATTCCCGAAACAAAGCACATATTACCACTAAAAGGTACAGTTCTATTAAAGCCTCTGCAGAAATGCAGAAAGCCAATTAAGAGTTCAAAATATTTCTTCATGCAAACTGGTAGCAGCATATCTATGAAGACATAAGACCACCGAAGCCAAGGAGAAAAAAGTGTCTGCTCTATGCTTTCACCCTTTCAGATTTTGAATTTTGCAAGTTCACCTTGCTCTAAAAAAAACAAAATAAAAATCAAAGCATACTTTCTAGGAACAGATACACACTAAGCCACTCTTGTCACCAGAAAGATACTGCTTCCAAGACACTTCTGTCTCTCCTTCCTCAACTAAAAAAGAAAAGAGAAAGAAAAACCCACCTACAACTGTAAAAGTTAACTTTTAAAATATTAACAGAGGAAGTCTCACAAATATAAGGCAACTGCCACGCAAAACTTCAGTAACAGAGGTGTTGATGAAACATCAAAGGAAAATAGAAGCGTATTCTTGGAACTTCTAACTTTGTGATGTATTCTTGCTCAAGGTACCGGGGGGGGATGGGGGTGGCCTACTCAAAACCACCTAAACCTGAAATTAATTTTCTTGAAAATGCTGGCACTTCTCTGTGAAGAACTATAGCTTCACATATAAATATCCAATGGATCAGTGAATCAGACGAAGAGATGGAAGCTTTGATAGTGTCATTAAAGCATCAAACAATAATCAAGCATTTACATCGTATATACTTATTCAAGATTGGGGAAGTGAGGCTTAAAATTCTTGGTTTCTATAATTTAGGGGGCTTTTGTTATTAATTTTTTTTTAAGGGCTCAAAGAATTTCTTTCATTTTCATGAGCTTCCACTGCACAAAATTTTCCTGTAATTCTCATGAAAGCTTCTGATTATAGCAAAACAATTTTAAAGCCAGGCATCTGATGAGCTGTTTTGCAAAAATTTCCCTTGAAGGCCCAATTGAAAAATGGTTTGTGTAATTATTAAGTAAGAAACCTGCAACACCAGTGGACTAGAAATTAAGAGAGGGATATAATGGTGCAGAACATTTTGTTTTCTTTACAAAAATCACACTTATAGTTGCATTGATAAGCATTTATGCATATTAGGGAAAATGATAGTCAAACTGCTTTCTTTCATAAAGAAGACATGTTTAAGACATTTCAGCACAAGTTTTCATTCACTCCTAGGACAGCACAATATTATTCCCATTTCAGAGCTAATACAAAATACAAGTCATTTGGTCACAGCTACAAACTAAGTACTTATAAATAGAAGGTTTCATCTTCCCAATAGAAATATACAGTTTTCCTTGCCGATCTTCACATTATTTCTCTTCCACTAGATTACCTGATTTGATTTTCGGTTTAATGTTCATAGAAGTGAACAGCCAGGCACAATATATCACTCTCATGATACGGAAAATCAGTATGATACCAACACCTGCACTGCATTGACTTTCTACACACATACATTTACTTTCTACATTTTCAATTCAACACTGGAAGAGGAAAAAAGCAAATAGTGCCAAATTATGAAATGGATTTGTGTTACAGACAGATGGTCACTAGCATGACACTGATGTCATACTTTCCACTTACAGAGTAGAATGCTAATTCAAATTCTGCAGATATCAAACACTACTACACCATAACAACTGCTATGGCACGGAATGACGTGGAGTAAACGTTACTCTTAATACTATGGGACTGCATCCTTCACTGAACATTGACCACTCAGTAGTAAGTATCACAGATATAAAAGTAATCAGTGCTGAACAGGAACAACCGCTATGCCTCTGATTCACAAATATTAGAGCTTCCATCAGCCTCACATGCTTATTACCTGCTACAATTAAGAATACTACAAATACTTCTATAACTTTCAAACATGTTTACTTACATATTTACAAACACATTTTTAATAAATTTCTTGCATCATATTTAGCGATAACTTACACTACCAAAACTGCAAGTTTGTTATATAAAATTATCTACTCAGGTTCTGAAGATTACCTCCAAACTTCCTAATTCAAAACAGTTGTCAACATTACTCTTGTCTACATATGTATCATCACTTACTATTGCTAACTGCGGTTCACATATAATGTGTTACCAGTTCAAGAAGCCCTTGTGTTTTGGTCATCACTGACTAGGTACAATCACTGTTTTTACCAATGTGTGATCAAGATCAAGATCTGCTCAAGGCAAAACAAAACAACTTGCTACTAAAAGACAGCAGCAATCCCTTCAGATGAGGGCTCAAAGCTTTTAATGCCAGTTCCAGTGAATGAGTGATGGTAGCAAATAAAATATAACAGTAAAGGAGTCAGGAAAAAAAACCTGCAACAAAAAGGGCCTAGCATCAGCTAAAAGAACACACCTGAAAACTATCTGCTATAGCATGTAATTAATAATTTAAAGTTTACCAAAGTCGTAAGAGACTCAAAAATTTCTGACTGTCCCTTTCTCCTCTTTTTCTTTTGAAATTACACCTTCTTAATTTAGCACACGTTCAGGTGCTTCCCCTTCTGAAAACAGTTAACTATGCAGAAATTGGCAGGTGGTAAGTACAGCTTTTCTACGGTGCTGCACTACAACAGTGGTGTCAAACTTGACAGCAGAGATCAACTACCCGTAATCTACAACTACTCTAGTTGCTCCCCAGCATCTTGCCAAAATATTTTTGTGCTGGAAGAGGTATGTGAGAGTGACAGCATGCTACGTCATCCGTAAACATTACTGCAGCCACGCTAGGACTACAACTCAAAGACTTCACAAGTTGAAACAGCATTTACTCCCAAGCAACAAAGGCACACAAAGAGAAAGGACTTGGAAACGAAAGTGGAAGGAGATAGAGGGCATACTATTTAAAGTTTAGGTGGTCTCTTCCCATCAAAAGGGAGGAATTCTTTAGGAACCTACAGAAATAAATCTCAACATCTCTGCTCTACCAGCCTCTCAAGAGAGCGAGAAGACTTAGCCAGCCAGCATCTTCAGTAGGAGCTGTTCTTCAGCCTCTCCTCAGCTTCTCAAGCCCAGCCCCTGGGTGAGAAGGGGCCTGTTCCCTGATCACCAGTGCAGCACAACAGCACACCCCCTCCTGCCCCAAAGCTCAGGTGTGGGAGGCGCAGGGGGCACGACGGGCCGGCCCAGGGGCGCTCTGGCA